CTTTCAAAAAAACGAAATCTAGAATTTTCATATTTGTGGGTAAACACAATCAAAGTTTTCCCCATTTACACAGTGCTCTTCAATTTTTTTTTTTTTTATAAATAATAAATAAATATTTCCAACACCCACACCAATTAGCCTAGCCCCAAAGTAAGCACTGTAAAGGCTCGTGTTATGGGATACTAGGGTAACGGATAGAATACATATACTGTACATATATAAGTAAATACATATTAATCATCCATGACTGGAGTACAAATGCTCGTATTCATCACACAAACATCTGCCCCCACCGGGATTCGAACCCGGGACCTCTCGAGTCGGCGACGCCATGAACCCCGGCGTATAAACCACTCGGCCACGGAGGTCGTCAAAAATAAAGTTTCGTTCTCAACTCAAGTGGCTTCCAATTCGTCGTCGCCGGGATACTCATATACTTTCCCTTCTTTACAATGTTTGGTTTAATCCCTCTTATCCCAATATCTTAAAGAGCTTTTCAGTTTTCTCCACTGTTCCCACTCCCAGTCTTTACGCTCATCAGAGAATTTGAGCCTTAAAACTCCATCACCACCACCTTTTATAAATATTCTTGTTGTGTTCAAGCTGTGCGCCTCTAGAACTCTCTCCCATTAACATCAGACGTGCCCAGACGATTGGTTTATTTAAGAAGCAGATTATTTTTTCCTTTCACAGTAGTTGTTTGTGTTGTTCCAACTGTATGTATGTATGTGTATGTCTCTCTACTCATTCATTTAATATTTGTATACTTGCGTAGTAGATATTTTTGAGTATATTGAATCGTGAATCTTTTATTGTAATTATTTTTATTTGGTATAATAGCACACCCCCTCTTTTATTAAATTTCATCTCTCCACCCTATGGTCGTCTGGCAGAAATTCCTATATAGCGATAAGATCACCAATTGTTCACTATTTGAAGTTTTGTCCTAGTGTGTAATATTTAATGTGGTGTGCACAATAAAGTGTTATCTATCTTAAAAAAAAATAAAAGACTTATAAGTCTATTCACTTTGGCGTGAGACAAAATGTAAACAACTAATCAGAGGTTCTAAAACTTTTATAATGACAGAAAGTAACCACTAGTCAATGATTATGTATAATTTGTGTTACCTATAATTTATTAACAACTTTAAACGAAACAGAAAAAAATCAAACTCAATAAATAAAACAAGGAAATAACAAGAATTTAACAATTATGATAGTTATCTAAAGAAAAGTTTACTAGAAAAAATAAATGCTTAAAAAATAAATAAAATCATAATTATGATAGTGTATGCACGCTCGCGTCAACAGGTTGATCGGGAGAGTAAAAATGGCTAACGTAAACCAACCGATTACAAAACAAAACACTTCAACGTAAAATACTTATTTCATGTCTACCCTTAAATTTTGTCGTATTAAAATAATACGTCTTAAGTTTGGGAATGATTGTGTTTTTAGGTCATTTTCCATGTCAACTTAAGTTGTTAAACATAGATGAATGATTGGTCTCGCTTCACTCGACTAGATACCGCTCTGTCAAAAAACAATAGCTCCGAAAATGCGGCAACTCATTATTGTAGTGTGTGTATGTCAATTTGCAAGGATGCTATCGAATGTAGTAATCATAAATCGTGTAGCCAGCTGCTCACCTGCTACCCGAGTAATAGGGAAAATATTGTAGGTTGTAATTAATATGTACCAGGTTATATATGTAACTCATCAACTCAAATACTTAAAGAAGATGCACTTAATTAAATGCGACTACATCAACATTTTTGTGCACTTATACGATTAGGCGTAGGTTTCTTCTTCAGAAAAATGATTAGGCCTCATTTATTTTATTTACATGTAATATTTACTTGTACATTATTACAGTGATTCAAGTGTGTAAGTTGGTCACTACATACGAGACATTATTGTAACTCAGTAAGGAAGCTGAGTGTGTAATGATCAATGCAGACGAGCTGAATATGACGTTTTTCAACACAATTGCGAGGAAAACACAAACTTGTATTGTTACTGTTATAAAGTTCAACTGACCTTTGTTGAGATACATAGATTAATATAAATTGGTTTTTCTAATTTTCGATATAGAAATAAAGACTCCTGCCCAAATATATTGTGGTTACTACAAGCAACTAAGGAACTATACACTGCGCGTGGTACGACACGCACTTGGCCTGCTTTTTATGAAGGGTGTGGTATATTCTAAATTATGTAACAGAAGCTGACTTCATGAATAGGTATTATGACGAAGAAATTTTAATCCAAAAATTGGATAAAAAAAAATGGTTTTTCTCAATAAACCAAAAATGACAAAGATAAACCGCGTCAAAGTTTGGGAATGGGGGCTCATGACGTCACTTCTAAGTGAAAACTGTACCAAGTGAGTTGTATGTTATGTGATTAAATGCGTAATTTTAAATTTATATATTTTTGTAATATTTTGCTTATGTGAATAAAAAAAAATAGGTACGTGTCCAATACTTTTTGTGATATAAACAAATAAAAAAAAGTTTGTCATCATCGGGCGGGAAAAGAAAAAGTTCCTTGCAAGGAGGGATTCTTGTCTGTGGTTCTCAGTACAAGGTCTCCCGCCGTAGAGTTGCGAATCAATGGCGTAGCTTCTGAGCCTTGTAATATCCTACACTGAATAAATAATTTTAAATTTGACTTTAAACAAAAGTAAACGTACAATTGTATTCTCGTTTAACAGATTTATGAAAACACAAAAGGTTCCATACCTATTGTGTGCGATAGTGGATCTATACATTAAACAATAAATTATAATGTCGAGCATTTGCTCGTCAAATCACGTCTTGTGTATGGGAATTGACTAATTATTTTATTTTAATTATTTATTTTTGTAGTGAATATACAACTAAATATTCTGTGAATATTTCAAACGTCTACCTGTTGCCGTTAATATTATCTAGCAAAAACGGCAAATAACGTGTGCTGTATGAGAGACCCCCTTACATATTTATTTAATATTTTTAGTATTTTGTTATAGCGACAACAAAAATACATCATCTGTCAAAATGTCTACTATCTAACCATCACGGTTCCTGAAATACTCTTAATTATTTATTTTTGAAGTGAATATACAACTAAATATTCTGTGAATATTTCAAACGTCTACCTGTTGCCGTTAATATTATCTAGCAAAAACGGCAAATAACGTGTGCTGTATGAGAGACCCCCTTACATATTTATTTAATGTTTTTAGTATTTTGTTATAGCGACAACAAAAATACATCATCTGTCAAAATGTCAGCTATCTAGCCATCACGGTTCATAAAATACAACCTGGTGACAGACAGATAGACGGACGGACAGTGGAGTCTTAGTAATTCGGTCCCGTTTATACCCTTTGGGTACGGAACCCTAAAATCGAGAATGCTCGACCTTCGACTATTGTATGTTAGGCCGTGATTTCCAACACATCAGTGTTAATAAGACGACCGACACAGGAAGGAGGGCAAAGGCGACCGTTGGTATATTTCACCCTACCTTGTGATTAGTACACACTAGCGGAACATAAGATATATATCTTTCATTTTTATTTCAAGTGAACTTTTTAGCTTTGCTAAACACCGCCAAATCCTGCATACATGTATCGTTTGTATGCTAAATGCGACAGAGGGGCAAGCTGTGTATGCCTACACACACCTACTTATAATTAAGTAAGTGTGTGTTTCAGGGTCATTCAATATAAGTAGTTCAGACAATTAAAGTAATTAGAACGGAAAAAGAATAAGAGGGTACTTCATTATATTTGTATAGGTAGTAATCAATTTATCGAAGTGTTCTGCTAAAAGCAGTAGAATTGTATTTGGAAACTTTTTTAGCCAGTGATCTAGCTTTTCATTAGATGGCAGACCTTAGCGTTGCATTTTAGCAAATTAGATCATAGTAGCTATAATTCGTGCCATGAAAGAAATGAATCGAAAATTCTGATGCTGAAGGTTCTAGGGCTCCACGGAGTAGGTTAAGCAACAGCAAAAGTGATACTTTGGCATAACAGGCGTCTCAAGGTTATGGGTAGTATCTTACTTTCAAGTTGGTTTCGCCAATGTTATCCCCTACTTATCAGGGTAGGCAATAGTGAAAACGAACCTCGTGAGCGCCTATAGGCTAAACGGGATTTACACTACCCAATTTTAACAGCCCAATCGAAAGGGTGGGCGTGGCCCCTAGCTACGGTAAGCAATTATTACACCGCACCGAACGCCCTTGTTTTGCATCGTCAGGAAAATGCTTATCCCACCGCCTTGGAAGGACAGCGAGTTTATGTGGGTCTCCTCCCTTCGCCTCTCATCTCACGCTGAGCCCGCTCAGCCAATCCAAAGACTGGTCTAGCCGTCGTTCGAGAACCCCTTCTCGAACGCCCCCGCCCTACCCACTAAAAACCTGACGATCTCCTCACCTCACTAGTGGGCCGTCACCTCGTCGGGCGCAAGTTCCACCCAACAGGTGGCACCCCGCCCGTCGAGGCAAAGGTACTGGCTGAGGCTACGGAAACCTGTAATACTTCCGCGACCTCACCAGTGAGTGTGCGAGTCGAACGTACCCACCCAACTTGGAGATGTCCCGAGGCATCGGGGGCATCCCCACCTAAAGACAGCGCCATCGCCCTAGATCGAGTCCCTTACTCCCTAACTCATTTTTTTTATGTGTAATGTTATATATACTGTACTCTGTATGTTGATTAGGGAGCAAATATATATATATTGTTCATTTATATTGTGTTTATGGTCGATTTTGGTTCTGCAATTGGATACAGATCCAAAGCCGCCGCTATTTTACTACTACGCCGCTACTTTTGGTCGATGTGGCAGTTATGTACCATTTACGCGCTTAAGTTGTGGCACTATTGTGTTACACTACCCTTAGTCAGGGTTTGGTCCCTTAAAATTGGGTAGTGTAAATCCCGCATAAGGCAGCTCAGCTTACCATCAACTGGCTGAGAATACATACAAAAAATCCGTCGCTTACCGGCGTTAACAAGACGCAGCAACAGCGAGAGCGCTAGAGCGACGGCGGCGTGTTGCGCGAGCGGCACTCGCCGCATGTCGCGCCCACCCCACCGCTCATGCCATATCGTTTCTGGAACAATCAATATTAAAGGTTAATAATCTTATCCTCAGGAGACGCTCAATGGATCAAGGATAAGCAACGCAAAGTACGTAACCACCGTGCTCAGAACATAGGTACGAAGAATGGACAGCGCGCCACTGAGGCGGTCGCCGCCTTTCATGAAATAGGAAGAGAGGAAACACAGCCAATACACAACGCCCGACTCATTTCGTAGTCACTTAAATTGTTTTACTTTACATTTGGACAGGAGACGCTTTTTGTCCTAAGGCTGAGAAAGAATTAAGTATACATTCCATGGACCAAGTGTAGTGGAATCCTTCGTCCATGACAGTTCACAGTTTTCGTGCAGTTTCAAGCAGGAAGTCAATATCAAAATTACGTTTTAGGGTTCCGTAGTCCTGACAAGGAACCCTTATAGTTTCCTCATATCTGTCTGTCCGTCCCCGGTTTTGCTTGGAGACTGTTAGAACTAGAGAGCTGTTATTTTGTTGAGATATGTATATAAAACATGGCGACAAAATGGTAAAATAAAAATTTAGAAAAATATTTTTAGGGTAGCTCCCGTACATGTAACCTGGAGATAAATTTATTTTTCATCGTCTACCTCTCGTTTGTGGTATCGTTGATTAGGCCGTTTAAAAGGGTTGCTAAGACTAGTTTTCGATTTAGGGATCCGTTTGCGAAATATTAAACTTTAAAATGCTAATTTTTGTTCATGGCGTCCCTTCCTCTAAAAGCTAAACTATTGACTTGAAAAACCTGGAAAAATTCATGATAAGTACTAGTGCTTTTTATGTACTTTTAAGGAAATTATAACAGTTAAAATAAATTTGTTAGTTTAAGAGTAATAGTCGTTCAACTTACGTATTAGAAAATTTCTACCGTAATAAAAATTCTTTAGAAGAAAACATTTAGAGTGACTTAGACGAAGTTATTACTTAAAATAAAGACTCTTTCTAAAATATATTGTGGTGATGACGGGTAACTATGGAACCCTACACTGCGCGTGGCACGAGACGCACTTGGCTGGTTTTTTACTTATATAACTTCGTCTTTATCAATTGAGTACTAATTTTAGAATTCGAGTACCTATCGTGTGGTTGTAAAGCTTAGTCACAATACATACAAGAGCAGTACTCCGACTTCATTCTAGCAACAGAATCGACGCACGCACACAGACAAACCTCATTTACACGGCCGTTAACCAATCTTGCCAAGACAAATCTACACAGTGCCACGTCGCGCGCCGCCGAGACTGGTCGTTGGCCGAGTTAAGATAGCTGCGCCGCGCCGCCCGCGCCGACTGCGTCCGTTTCGATTCCGTAACTATACACATACAATAAAAATTTACACAAATATGTTTTACATTTTGTAGGCACCAACCCTAGCGCTCCGCTCAGTCGTAGGTATCTAATTTAAGAAAACGGCTGAGTTACGCTACTGCTCTTGCATGTATTGTAGCTTAGTCTTCTATAAAGTTCACAGGACGCACCCACTTCAATAGCGCTTGATTGTGAACAATGTAGCGTTGGCTCGTATGTATTAAAAGCTGCTACATATATAAAATGCGATACTTAAGCATCTATTGGTACTTCATCAATTTCCAAAAATGAAAAGAAGAACATATGTGCTAACTATCTTAAAGCATTATCCTATGACGTTTTTTATAGAATATGAATCGGCAAATATGACGCAAATTCATAGTATCATAATAATAATGTATGATCGAACTAACAAAAATAAAACACATAGGTACTATTGAAACTCTTGGCAAACTAATTACTATTGTTATAGTCAGTTATCATCATCATCATCAGCCTATTGATGTCCCCACTGCAGGGACAAAGGCTTTCCCTATAGAAGGCCTGTGTGCCCCCCACGCGGGCCCAGTGCGGATTGGTGGGTGCAAACGACTGCAAATGCAGCCGGGATCAACGGCTTAAAATGCCTTCCGAAGGTGGTAAATTTGTGGTCACCCATTCAATGACCGCTCACTGCGAAAGTTGCTTAACTTCAATGATCGCAGCCGAACGCGCCAACCACTTGCACCATCGAGCTTCTCATTAGTCAGTTACCTATATTTATTATGTATAAATCGGATATAAATTTCACACAACCCTTTCATATACACACTATAGATTACCATACCAAACACTGCAACGATACAATTAGTACATACACTGCAAAATCAGCTTTCCAAACATTTCCGATAAACCGCTCAATTTCTAGCTCGCTAATTGTATTGGCTATGCTAAACAAGTTGAGTGCTGAGTAATTTAGCTCAGCGGCTAATAGTGTAGGTACACGGCTTCGTGTTGACGAGTGCCAAATTGATTGAATAACAACATTGCCCTCGGCGAAATTAAAGATTGGAAACGTTGGCGCTAAAATCCTAACATTTTCCATCAAACATAATAATTACATCAGTAGTAAGTACCAATTTTCTCTTACCTACTTCTCTTACATAGGAATGAACCGAGCAGATCCGTCGTAAAGTAGACTTACCGTAGTTTTTTATAATTTGAAATATAAATAGTTAAATAATGTTTTTTAACAACAGTCGTGGTCAATCATAGTTATTTTTATCAACACTCTGAAATATATTTATGCGGGTAATACCTCATGACTTCAAAACCATTGTTTTCAAAACTTAAATAAGCTAATGTTTCCACTTAATAGCAACGATCATCCTGATGCTGGTGTAGAATCTATACTTATAATAAATCTGTAGAGATGTCAATTCTGTACATGAAATATATGTTTAAAATAACTATGAGGGGGTGATTAGTGATCGATACTGATGCCAAAAATGCAATCAGTAAAATTTTTGTCTGTCTGTCTGTGTGTATGTTCCTTATAGAAACAAAAACTACTCAACGGATTTTAACGAAACTTGGTACAATTATTCTTCATACTCCTGGGCAGGTTATAGTATACTTTTCATCACGCTACAATCAATAGCAGCAGAGTAGTGAAGGGAAATGTTGGGAAAACGGGAGAAGTTACTCCATTTTTTAAGCTTCCGTCGCGGGTGCAGCCTTAATGGTTAAAGTTACAAAGAAATCATGTATGACGGAAATATTCTACATAAAATTGTCTAAAAAATATCCCGCAACAGCATATGTCTATCTTTTATGGTTGACTCATAATAACACATGTAATTATATAAATAAAGTCATTCTTTATAGCACAAGCCTGAGAACAAAAACTATAGTTTACACTACAGCTCTACACCGAAGCGAAGCGAGGGCGGGCCACTAGTATTTAATAAAGTAAAAATAATGATGAAAGCTTCATTTATTCTGTCACGTTGTGAATCAACATTGAAATTTCATTATAAAAATTATAGGTAAAAAAAAAACTTTTTTTAAATTACCCTACTGATTACCTACACTTTCTATCAAGGCCCTTTAATTACACGGTAATATCACGTTCACTTTATTTAATTGCCAATACAGAACTATTGAAAGAGACATGAGCCAAGTTCTTTCTAAAATTGTGCACTCTGCTTTAGGTTGGCGAGTGGTAAATTGGCAATAAAATCAAATTGCTCGCACGCAGAGGGCTTGAGGATATTTTTAGGGCTTCTCTGTATTAAGCCAAAATATAACCATACGTTTAGTGAGCTGTGTTACACAGCATTGACCTTCTATAATAAAAACTTCAAATACTTAAACCTTTATATGAAATTCTATATTTGCTTATAGAAACAATTGGACAATTATTAGAAAGTAAATAAACTCTATTTTCCATTTTTTTTCCAAAAATTGTGAAATAGCTACAGAAAAATATTATGAATGCTTACAATAAAACATTAGCAAGAAAGAGCATCCCTTTCTTCCTAATGTTTTTTTTTTCAAATATTAAATAATAAACTTCGGAATCATCTTCAATTTGTTTAATAATAATTTGAGATAGGTGATATCTAGATTTTAAAAATCATTTTCTATTTGGAAATTGAGAATTGTTTTCAATTTGGGATGGGTGATAAGTAGAGTTAAAGTAGAAAATATTTTTCTATATAAAATTTAAATTTTAAATTTAGTGCTAAATTATGAAGTCTTATTATACCTATTTATATTTTTCAGCATTTATTAGCATGTCTAAATCTAAAGAAAATTTTACTAGAAAAAAATCTTAAGGTTATACAATCTAGTCCTTACCTACCATTTATCCAGGCTCCCGCTTGCATCCCATCACTTTTAAAACCCAAAACACACTTTACCGACTCGGACTTGCCTTTATTTTTTTACAGTTTCCTGATATTGAGTTGTTATGGGTTCGTACACGTACGTGAAGTTGTCTATAAATACTATCGCCGTGTTACTCAGACTGCATCGATCGAGCGTTGTAATGACGTAAATTCGGCGAATGGACCATTAAAACGTAATACGTGCCCGGATTCAGTAATGTCGGTTAGTTCTCAGAATAAATACTTTTCAATTAATTGCCTACAAAGCACACGTCCGCCGTCGTAAAAAATACGTAGCATTCCGTTGCAAATAACTATACTTCCGGACACATCTTTCGGCCCACCTAGCTAGCACTTTAAGATTTGACGGTCCTTAGCTAAAAATAAATGTTACATTGAACACAATATTTTTAACCAGTTTTGAAGCTGCTTTAATCACCATCTTTAATGTGTGTTTAAAAAAAAGTGGTTTTGCTAAAGACTATGAAACCTTGTGACACTAAGTGGGCCGATAGGTGTATCTGGAAGCATATATCAGAATAGGAGGTCTACTCTATGTCAACGAAAAACGAAATTTCGGTCGAAATTTCGCACGTTCTTTTCTTTATTTCTTTATGCATTTGATTTTGAAAATACGTTCGTTCGAAAATACACTTAATGTTGCATGTATGAATGCATCGGTGCAATGGTGTCATGTAGCACTTGGTTTTGTACCCTTGTGTACCCTTCAACAGCCAAGTTACGCAACATTAACTATAATAATAAAAAAATCGCAGTAAGGAACCTTAGACTTGACACGACTTTGTCTAGATAGAAT